CCCCCATCTGCAGGTTGAAAACGAGGAGCTGAGGCACCTCATGTGGTCCTCGGTGGTGTTCTACCAGACCCCGGGGCTGGAGGTGACCGCCTGCGTGCTGCTCTCCACCAAGGCTGTGTACTTCGTGCTCCATGATGGCCTCCGCCGCTACTTCTCAGAGCCACTGCAGGGTAGGTACAGGGCCTGCTGGGGAGGAGCTTGGAGTGTGTGCTTGTGGTGAGCTGGGGGCCCTCTCTGGAGCCAGCTGTGTGGCTTCAGGCAGCAGTCAGTGACTTGACTGCAGTGGGCTGGGAGTCCTTGTCTGAGGAAGGGGAGCTGCCATGAGGGAGGGGTCCATGGCCAGATGGCGAACACAGAATGTCCTGAGCCAGGGCCCAGTGACTGCTTGTGAATGGCCTGTGATGAGAAGGGGTTGGGCAGCCTCTGCCGCTGGGGCCACACAGGGAGCCTTAGCCAGTGACCTGGTGACTCCCGTGAGCTGGGAGAGGCTCAGACTCCAGCCCACATTGCCCATGGGTCTTGCGTAGGTGGAAGTGGGACTGGCTCCTTGCCAGCCAAGAGGACCTGTTCCTGGTAGATGTGCTATACACCTAGGACCTTTGTCCTTGCCTGCCCCTGCCTCCCTCAGTCCCTGTCTCCATCACACAGATTTCTGGCATCAGAAAAACACCGACTACAACAACAGTCCCTTCCACATCTCCCAGTGCTTTGTGCTAAAGCTCAGTGACCTGCAGTCCGTCAACGTTGGGCTTTTCGACCAGCATTTCCGGCTGACGGGTGAGTGACCTTCTGTGCTTTGTCCTATTTCGGGTGAAGGCCACTGTCACCAGTGGGCTTCCACCTTCCTTACTTGGGCGCGTTATCATAGGCAGTTATCTCTGTCCTCAAGAGCCACTTCTTACCCAGGGTGGGAGGAAGCAGCTTCAGGAACTGCTGAGAGAGCAGAACTCAGTCTCCAGGGCTCGGACAGGAGGCAACATGTGCAGCCAGCACTGGCCCGGACAGAGGCAGAGTGGGCCCTGGTCTCGGGCAGGATGTTTCTGACTCATACTTCCTGAAGAGAGAAAGCTGAGCTCTTTGCCTAATGCCTCTGTCTCCCCTTCCAGAAAAATCCCTCAGCTTTTCCGGCCTGAGGAATGGCCTCCTCCCACACCCCATGATGCTTTCCTATGTGGGCCTTCCTGGCCCTGGCCTCTGGGCTCAGGCTTGCTGGGAACTTAAGTTGGCTCTAAGAAGCAGGGACGGGATAGGGGAGCGGTGGCCTGTGGCTCTGACCAGCCCCCACCACGCCTCGTGCAGGTTCCAACCCGGTACAGGTGGTCACGTGCTTGACGCGAGACAGCTACCTGACGCACTGCTTCCTCCAGCATCTCATGGTTGTGCTGTCCTCTCTGGAGCGCACGCCCTCGCCAGAGCCTGTTGACAAGGACTTCTACTCCGAGTTTGGGAACAAGACCACAGGTACCCCTGCCCACCTCAGGCTACAGACAGGCTGTCTGGACAGACATCACAGGCCCCAGGGCAGCTCTCTGTGCCCCAGAACCCTCTCTGCCTCTCCCTTTTCTCTATTCTCACTTAGCTGGCCAGGGTTTTATGTGGGAATTTCAGATGGCAGAGTCTCCACCCTGGCAGTCCCTCAACCATCTGGCAGACACAGCCCCAGTGCCTGCTCTGGGCTACTGGCCTGTGGGCCCCGCACTTCAAATATCCTCTCGTGCCGGGGTCTCTCAGTTGGCTTGGGGCCCTTGGCACTCCCAGCCCCACTGTGGGCCAGTTCCAGGCTATAGCCCTGGTGGCATCTCTCTGCAGGGAAGATGGAGAACTACGAGCTGATCCACTCAAGTCGTGTCAAGTTCACCTACCCCAGTGAGGAGGAGGTTGGGGACCTGACATTCATTGTGGCCCAGAAGATGGGCGAGCCAGAGAAGGCCCCAGCCCTCAGCATCCTGCTGTACGTGCAGGCCTTCCAGGTGGGCACACCACCCCCTGGGTGCTGCAGGGGCCCCCTGCGGCCCAAGACACTCCTGCTCACCAGCTCCGAGATCTTCCTCCTGGATGAGGACTGTATCCACTACCCACTGCCCGAGTTTGCCAAAGAGCCGCCGCAGAGAGACAGGTACCGGCTGGATGATGGCCGCCGCGTCCGGGACCTGGACCGAGTGCTCATGGGCTACCAGCCCTACCCACAGGCCCTCACCCTTGTCTTCGATGATGTGCAGGGCCATGACCTCATGGGCAGTGTCACCCTGGACCACTTTGGGGAGGTGCCAGGTAGTCCGGCTAGAGCCGGCCAGGGCCATGAAGTCCAGTGGCAGGTGTTTGTCCCCAGTGCCGAGAGCCGAGAGAAGCTCATCTCACTGTTGGCTCGCCAGTGGGAGGCCCTGTGTGGCCGTGAGCTGCCTGTTGAGCTCACTGGCTAGCCCAGGCCACAGCCAGCCCTCGCTGCCTGCTGTGTCCAGCCTGACACCTACTGGGGCCGGGCAGCAGGCTTTTGTGTTCTCTTAAAATGTTTTCTCCTCCCTTTTGGTACCTTAATTTGACTGTCCTCACAGAGAATGTGAACATGCGTGTGTGTTGTGTTAATTCTTTCTCATGTTGGGAGTGAGAATGCTGGGCCCGTCCAGGGCTGTCTGTGTGCCGTCAGCCTCCCGAGGGTGGCGGGGCCGTGCACACCAGTGTTGTGTCTGTTGTGTGACCGTTGTTAACGCGTGGCGCTGTGGGTCTTTCTCTTCTACACGTCCTCTCCTGAAGTGTCAAGTCCAGTTCTTTGTTGCTGTTGCTGTCGTTGTGGGCATCTTGCTGCTAATCCTGAGGCTGGTAGCAGAATGCACATTGGAAACTCCCACCCCAGATTGTGGAGTCTCCCCGGTCCAGACAAGTGGGAGAGACGGTGGGAGCAGGGGGCGGGAGCTGCCAGCACCAAGCGCGATTCTTGTTGCCTGTATTCTATTCCAATAAAGCAGAGTTTGACACCATCTGCATCTTCTAAATCACGGGTCACTGGGGCCCCAGCAGGGCTTCCATCCAGGGCATGGTTGATAGGGGAGAGGGTGCCCCGGAGACACAGAAGGGTGAAGGGCTAGGGGAAAGGAGGGAGCAGCCTCCAGGAGCCAGGTACTTCTTGGAACATGGGAGGCATGACAGGGCCATGGCCTCTCTGGACAGGGCCATGCTGGACTGTGGCTAAATCGTGAGCCCAGGGCAAACAAGAAGTCTGTGAAACTCCTCAGGGAAGCCCTGATGCAGCAGCCGCCACCCCTCTGCCTGGGTGCAGGGCATGCACCCCTTCAGGCTGTCCTGCAGGTCTGTGTCAGTCACCCCTACACCCAACCCCACCTGTCTCACAACACCCGTGAGGAGCGGAGGAGGGGTCGGGGGACAGAGAGCCCAGAGTCTGAATGGCTGGTGGGGGAGCCGGGGCATCTCACCAAGGTGGCCCTTGAATGGCAGTAGGGGAGGCCCGTGGGAGGTGGACCCAGGTGGTGGACAGTGGAGGGAGGGCGCATGCCTATCTGTGCCTGTCTTCATATCCCTGAAGCATGAGGCTCGTGGGCCCCTCCCTGAGGATTGCTTCAGGGAACCTGCTGAGGTGGGACCTGGGACTTGTTTGGGAGTCAGCCCCATGCCCCACTCTTCTCCAACCCCATTCCTGCTGCCAGAGCAGGGCCCTTGAGCCTCACATAACTCATCCTGACCCAGCCAGGAGCCTCAGTTCCCAGGACCCTGGGGCCACCAGGCCAAGCAGGGCTGTGGAGAGGTGGGTGGAGTGGCTAGCCTGGCTCCCAGACCTGCTTCTGCTCCCCAGTTTCCCTCGGTGCCAGAAGAGTAGGGGTCCTACCTGGAGGACCCTTCACCCTCAGGAAGGCTGTGGGTATGGGGAATGGGAGGAGGGTCTCCACTTGCAACCCCCATCCCAGCCAGATCTCAGAGGCCTGCCCAAAGGCCCCTCTAACCTGATGGGAGTGGAGGCGTGCTGGGGAGGAGAAAATCCCCCAATCTGGCCTTTCCCAAAGCATTTGCAGATGGCCACTGGGCTCTGGCCCACTCCTGTCTCCCCAGCTGTTACACCATCTGCAGGTGGGGGTAGTGACAAGTGGAGGCAAGGCCCACCACACACAGCCCTGGCACACAGGCCCTCAGCCTGCATTCACTGCACCTCCTGGGAGCTGGCTATGCAGGCAGGATCCCTGGGATGGATTTAAAACACTGATTACCTCAGACAAGCTCCCCAACCCCTCTGAGCCTTGGTTTCCCCACCAGTAACACAGGGATAGTATAAGGAGCCACCTCCATTCATTTATTTCTCCTGCACATCTGAATTGAGCATCCACTGTATGTACCAGCCCGATAGCGTCCCTGCTCTCCCTTAGCTGATGTTTCAGGGGGAGACAAAGGACACTAAACCCAATCTCAGCTGGTGGCCGGTGCCGCCAGGAGGTGAGCCAGGTTCAGGGCCACCTGCAGGCTGAGACCAGGGAGGCACTCTGAGGTGGTGGCCCTTGACTTGAGACTGGGCCTGTGAGAAGGAGCCGGTGTGTGACAATCTGGGGTAACAGCACATGCCAGGGGAGCTCACTTTGAAGGAGCAGACAGGCCTGGGTAGCTGGAGCAGACCTAGTTGGGGAGAGTCAAGAGAAACCAGCTGGCTGGAGAGGGGTTTGGAGGTGCTGCTGGAAGCTGGCTGAGCGTGGGCTGAGTTGTGGGCAGATAGGGAAGGAGGGAAGGTGGATGTGGGTTGGCGGGCAGGACCAGCTGCTCAGTAGTGGCGGGGGCTGGTGAGGGGATGCAGGTCTGGTGGCTTAGCAGGGTGCCGGCAGTGAGTCAGAGCCCCATGTGTGCCCTGGAGTTGAAAGGTGGAGGCAGGAACAGACCCATCCAGGGACTGCGCTGCTTTCCGCCAACCAGAACCTCTGGAGTCTCTAGATGAAACACACTGGGCTCCCAGGCAGGGGGCATTGGGGTGGGGGTTTTTCACATGTGCCTTTGGATTTGCTTCAGAACCTCTGATAAGAGCCCAGGTCTCCGGGGCTTATGGTGGCCTGGGCTTCCAGGTCATGATGCTAGGAGGGTCCTGGGCCGGGAAGCCCTGAGCAGGGCCCAGGCCATCCATGGGGGGTCAGTGGCCATCACCTTCCCTTCCGCCTGCAGGCTGCTGATACGCAGGAGGAAATCCTGGCGGGTTCCTGTGGGGGTGAGCTGGCGGGGCCTCCCGGCTGCTTTTAAGGCCACTGCCCGCCCCGTCCCGCCTGCCTGCACTGTGCCTGCCTCCTAGAGCTCATTCCCTGCGCCACTGGCTGCCTGACGCTGTCCTGGACAGCGTGCCCGCCAGCCATGGCAGGACCCCGGGGCCTCCTCCCGCTCTGCCTCCTGGCCTTCTACCTCGCAGGCTTCAGCTTCATCAGGGGGCAGGTGAGTGAGAGCCAGTCTCAGGGGCACACAGCATCTGAGCCCTGCTGGCCAGTGGTGGGAACAGGGAGGAGCTGGACATTGAGGGGCATGGGCCTGGGGAGACACCACAGCTGGTGCCTGTCTGACCTCTGAGCAGGCCTGGGAGGCGGCTGTTGTGCCCACCTCCCCAGGCTGAGGTCTGCATCTGGCCACCCGGGGTGCAGGGGTATGTCGGCCACCTTCCTCTGACTATGCCGGGTCAGGGCTCCCCAGGCTGCAGCTGAAGGGTACAGAGGCAGGCCCTTCCAGTTTCTACTGCCCTTCCAGCCCAGATGGAGGCCCACGTCTTGTGTGGCCCTCACCTGGGGATTGGTGATGTGATCACCTCCAACCCCTGAGGACAACAAACAGATTGAGTTGGGGCATGTGTGTGCACGTGTGTGTGCCTGTGTCCAGCCCCAAGAGTGCTGGGAGGTGAACGAGTCACTCACCCCCAGTGCCCAGGGTTATGAGCAGCTGACAAGGACATACTCCAGCCTCAGAGCTGCCATGGAGCAGCCGCAGCCTGGCAGGTCCCCTTGAATCTTCACAGCCTCAGGGCCACTCCTCCCGTCCTCCTCGTGAGGAAGCCAAAGCCCTAGGATGACAGGGCCAGGCCATTCCCATTCTGAAGTCATGCTCCAAACTCCTGCCTATGATTCCGATCCGTGCATGCTGGCCAGGCAGGGTGCTGGGATGCAGCTACAGCCAGCTCCTCAGTCAGGTTCCTGTGACAGGCTTCTGGCTGCAGGTCTGCCCAGGCCTCATGGTAGGGCCAGTGTTCCTCCTGGAGCTTCTGGAAGAGTCTCCCACTCTGTGATGGAGGTAGTCTCTCTCCTGTGAGGCCAAGTGCGTCTGCCTCTTGGGGCAGCTACCAGCATCCCCATGGCACAGATGGGCAGACAAAGGTCCACAGAGGGAAAGACCTGCCCAGGATCCCACAGGCAGTCCAGCCAGGGACACAGGCTTCCTGCCACCATCAGGTGCTTTCTCTTGGACGCCTGTGGTCCTTCAGAGAGGCAGCAGGGAGAGGGGCCTCACCAGCTTCAGGACCAGGCCAGGGCTGGTGACAGGAAGATATGAGGCTGAGAAGGCAACAGTGATGGGGGAAGAGCTGAGGGTTCCAGGGCTGTGCTCAGAGCCCTGCAGGTGAGCTCCTACCCTCCCCTTAACTCAGTTTCCCCACATACCATGCAAGGGAATTTCAAAGGCCTCTGCCACCTTCTCATGCTCTGGGAAGTGAGGACAGAGGTCAGCGAGGGGCCTCAGATTAGAGGTTTTTCCTTGTCAGAGATCTGTGGCTCTGGCCACTCCTTGTGGATGGGGCTGCGGCAGTGCTGGCCCATCTAACACAGCCAGGTGGCCTCTGTTCCAGCACCCTGAGTAGCTAAGAGCCACTGTAAATGCAGTTGGCCCTCTGTATCTGTGCACTCTGTGCGTGGGTTCAACCAGCCCTGGATTGAAAATATTCAGGGAAGGCCGGGTACAGTGACTCACACCTGTAATCCCAGCACTTTGGGAGGCTGAGACAGGCAGATCACGAGGTCAGGAGTTCAAGACCAGGCTGACCAACATGGAGAAACCCTGTCTCTACTAAAAATACAAAAAATTAGCTGGGCATGGTGGTGCATGCCTGTAATCCTAGCTACTTAGGAGACTGAGGCAGGGAATCACTTGAACCTGGGAGGCAAAGGTTGCAGTGAGCCGAGATCGTGCCATTGCACTCCAGCCTGGGCAACAAGAGCAAAACTCTGTCTCAAAAAAGAGAAAGAAAAAAGAAACAAAATATTCAGGGAAAGAATGCCAAACATGTTCAGACTTTTTTTTCTTTTCTTTTTTTTTTTTTTTTTGAGATGGAGTCTCGCTCTGTTGCCCAGGCTGGAGTACAGTGACACAGTCTCAGCTCACTGCAACCGCCGTCTCCTGGGTTCAAGCAATTCTCCACTCTCAGCCTCCCGAGTAGCTGGCATTGCAGTCCGGTGCCACCACACCCAGCTAAGTTTTGTATTTTTAGTAGAGACGGGGTTTCGCCATTTTGGGCAGGCTGGTCTCTAACTCCTGATCTCAGGTAATCCACCTGCCTCAGCCTCCCAAACTGCTGGGATTACAGGCATGAGCCGCCGTGCCCAGCCCCATGTTCAGACTTTTCTATGTACACAGCATTTGCATTGTATTCAGTATTATAAGTCGTCTAGGGATGACTTAAGGTATATGGGAGGATGCACATAGGTTATATGTGAATTTGATGCCATTTTTTTGTTTTTGAGATGGTGTCTTGCTCTGTTGCCCAGGCTGGAGTGCAGTGGCATGATCTCAGCTCACTGCAACCTCTGCCTCCCGGATTCGAGGGATTCTACTGCCTCGGCCCAAGTAGCTGGGACTACAAGCGCACGCGACCACACCCAGCTAATTTTTGTATTTTTAGTAGAGGTGGGGTTTTGCCATATTAGGCTGGTCTCGAACTCCTGACCTCAGGTGATCCACCAGCCTCGGCCTCCCAAAGTGCTGGGATTACAGGCGTGAGCCACCACGCCCAGCCACCATGCCATTTTATATCAGGGACTTGAGCATCCGTGGATTTTGGTATCTGAGGAATATCCTGGAACCAATCCCCCACAGACACCAAGGGACAACTGTGTATTAGGAATGGCAGCTCTGAGGGGAAGCGAGGTCCCGGGTCACATGTTCATAAGGGGGAGCAGCAGGACGGGCGTGCAGATGGATCTAGGCAACAAGGCAGGAAGGCTTCCCAGGAAGGGTCTTAGCACTTGCCCGTTCAGCAGCTTTTCAGCGAGGGCACGCAGCTAGACATGTGCAATGGAACCTGTAGCGGGAGGGGAGCGCAGTCCAGAACCCAGCCCTGCGCCCTCCCTGATCTGACTGAAGGTAGGAAAAGCAGTTTGTGGTTCCTCTCTGACAGGATTTGGATTCTGGAGTCTCAGCCTTAAAAAGTCCCCATGAGCCAGGTCCCAGCTTGGGAGAATTTCATCCACCTTCTCACCAAAGGCTTCACACTCATGTCTCCTCAACTTCCCCCAGCAGCGGCTCTGTGGGAAGCCGACGTTGCAAAATCAGGTCTGCAGGGGTGCGGTGGGGGAGAGACAGCACCCGCTCTGGCTGAGTCCCGAGGTGCCCCCAGGAAGGAGGGAATCTGACTCAGCACTCAGGCTGTGATCCAGCCTCACTCCACCCAGCCGGACTACCGGCAAGATGTGGGCTCAGACCGCAGATGCTCCTTCCAGGCCACGGGGCGGAGGCAGAGCCCCTCGGTGTGGTCCCGGAGAAGCACTGATGCGGCAGCCGGCTTACCGTTCATCAGCATTTCCCACATGTTCACAAACACCCAGGTCCTGTGAGTGGACATCCACGCCAGGCTCTAAAGCTCTTGCTTCTTTCTGGGCCCTGACTGTCCCAGGGTGCAGACAGTACAGCCTTACTCAGCCGGGTCCCTTACTCCAGAGCCGACCACTGTTCCTCCAAGAGCTGGTCCACAGCCAGAATGGTGACTGCACTGGCAGCTTTGCCCAGCTGGCCAGGTGGCTTTGAGGGGAGCTTGGCTCCTGCCAAGCCTCTGCCCTGAGCCAGCAGCTGCTCAGCCTGCGAGTTACCCAATTTCCTAGTCACTCCCTGGCTCAGCAAAGGCGAACCTCAGGATAGGGAACAAGCCTACAACATCCCAGCTCCGCCGCTCCACGCAGACTGCTCCCAGCAACTTCCCTGTTTGCAGACCGCAGAGGCATGAGCGGAAAAGGCCAAATCACAGTAGCACAGAGGCCCTGGGGCCCTGGTGTTTGCCAGAAGAAAGCGTTGAGGGCACCATTTCTCCTTTTCTCTTGTTTTGAGAAAGCACACATCTGTAAATTATTCTAGGAAAGGGATGTTCTGGGGTCACTCCCTTTGGACCACACTGTGTCAGCATTTTTCAAGATGAGAACATCTCCGATTCTCCAGCCTGTGCCATAAGCCTCCCAAACACCGCCCCCCACCCAAGCCCGGTCCTCCCACTGTAACCAGTTTAGTTCCACTCCTCCTGGGTTCAGTGCTGAAGGTTACTGGGACTTCATTACCATAGAAGGCAGCCCCGCTGGGGGACTTCCAGGAGCTGTGGAAGGCCAGTGAGTGGGACTCCAGGGCCGGGGCTTTCATCAGCATCCCTGCACCCATGCCATGGTGGCAGGCTGGACTCCTCACATCTTCCATGCCCCACCCAGTTGCTGAGACCTTCTCCCAATTCAGCTCACCACCTCAAGCCCTCTCAAATCTCTCCCAATCCATTTCCACTGTCCCTGCCTTGGCTGGCCCAGGCCACCCTCAAGTGATGGCCTCTTTCCCACCTACACCTGCCCCCTCAACTCTGTTCTCCAGGCAGCAGCCAGAAGGCCAATTTAGAACAAACTGGCCGGGCACAGTGGCACATGCCTGCAATCCCAGCTACTTAGGAGGCTGAGGTGGGAGGATCGCCCGAGCCCAGGATCATACCACTGCACTGCAGCTGGGGCGACAGAGCGAGACCCTGTCTGAAAGACAAACAAAAACAACAAACTGAGTCACGGGGCTGTCCTGGACTCTGCCTTACCCAGGTTTACAAAGCTCCTGCACCCAGGCCGCAGACCCTCCCCAGTCCCCACTGGGCCACTACCTGCCTTGTCACACAATTGCCTTGGCTTCTACTGTCCCCTCAGCCAGGAGTGCTGTCCTTGGCCAATTCCAATACATCCTTCAGGTCCCAAGTCAATGATCACCCCAACCAGAAAGCCACCTGGGGCCCCAGCCACGGTGCCCTGGGTTTCCTCAGAGGCCAGCATGGCCCATTGTCGCCTGAGACTGCCCAGCCCAAACACACGAGGACCAGAGACCTGCATATAGCTGCTCACATGAACTCAGCCTCTCAGGGCCGGGCCCTTAGTCTCTGCCCCCTGGGCAGCAGAGAAAGCCCTTTCGCACAGTTAGAGAGGGTCATTTGGTAGCAATGTGGGAAAATGCTCACAGCAGATGGTGGCTGGAGGCCCAGCCCCATGGTACATGGTGGGAGCTGGCATCATGCCTGTGCCCATGAGTTGAGAATGGAGTCACCGTGTCCTTCCAAGACAGCATCGGCTCTGTCAGGTATTATTATTATTATTATTATTTGAGACAGAGTCTGGCTCTGTTGCCAGGTGCCAGGCTGGAGTGCAGTGGCACAATCTCGGCTCACTGCAACCTCCGCCTCCCAGGTTCAAGCAATTCTCCTGCCTCAGCCTCCCAAGTAGCTGGGACTACAGGCACGCATCACCATGCCCAGCTGATTTTTGTATTTTCTAGTAGAGACAGGGTTTCACCATGTTGGCCATGATGGTCTCGATCTCCTGACCTCGTGATCCGCCCTCCTTGGCCTCCCAAAGTGCTGGGATTACAGGATTGAGCCACCGCGCGCAGCCCATGTATTATTTCTTTATCTTTAAACAAAGGGCCAAAGTGAGCACTAGGCTGGGAGTCTGGGTTCCAGTTCCTGGTTCACACCCTGTTCCTCACCTGAAATGGGCTGGGGGGCGCAATGTGGCTAGATTCTCTAGTGTCAGAGGGTATGCAGTCAGAACATTCTGGGCAGGCACATAGGGACTTGCTGTGACATTAACAACTTGTGACAGACAGGGTTATCAGGGCCTTCCCCACCTCACTGCACTCCCACTGAGCACATGGGAAGCCGCGGCTGGAGGGGTATGAGGCCTGGCCGCAATAAGGACAGAGTTGGGGCTGGGTGCGGAGTCCAGGCCCCTGACCACATCCCGACTGTGGCCCAGGGGCTGTCCAAACGCTGTGATGTGAAAACCACGCTTTCCACTCACGTACCCTGCACCTCGTGCGCGGCCGTCAAGAAGCAGACGTGTCCTCCAGGCTGGCTTCGGGAGCTCCCGGATCAGATAGCCCAGGACTGCCGGTGCGGGCCACCCCCCCACTTACCCGTGTTCAGGAGCGTCCTGTGGGGTGGCAGAGGCTGGGGGAGCCTGACAGACCTACAACATGAGGACAGGCACTCACTTATCCATGCCCCAGAGGCCCCTCCTGGGTGGCAGAGACAGGCGGGGAGGAAGGGGTAAAGGTAGGGGACAGGAGGGCTTTATGGGGCACCTGCTATGTGCTAGGCCCTGTGCTCACCTCTGGGCCAGGAAGAGCAGGTGTGGGGGAGCCCTGGAAGCCAATGTGGGGAGGCTTTTGGGGGCTGTGGATGGGAGCCTTTCCCCTCACCCCACCCACCCTCTGCTTCCAGCTACGAAGTACAGCTGGGGGGCTCTATGGTGTCCATGAGCGGCTGCAGACGGAAGTGCCGGAAGTACATGGTGGAGAAGGCCTGCTGCCCTGGCTACTGGGGCTCCCAGTGCTATGGTATGGGTGAAAGGGGGACCCCGCCTTGCTCCTCACACCCACCCCCAGCTCTGGGGAAGCCCTCTGCAGGAGCTACCTGCATTCCCCTTCAACTTGTTCATTTCATGAACACTCACGGAGCACCTCCCCGGCTCAGCCCCCTCACTCTTGCTGCCCTGGAGGAGGGGCTGTGTCTGGGCTTGGGTTCTGGTCACAGAGCTGAGTTCTGCCGGGTCCACAGAATGCCCTGGCGGTGCCCAGACCCCATGCAATGGCCACGGGACCTGCTTGGATGGCATAGAAAGGAACGGGACCTGTGTGTGCCAGGTAAGGGCTGGGCAGGGTGGGGTGGAGGCTCGGAGGGGCCACGCTGACTCACTGCATCCACTACCAGGAAAACTTCCGTGGCTCAGCCTGCCAGGAGTGCCAAGACCCCAACCGGTTCGGGCCTGACTGCCAATCGGGTGAGTGCTTGCAAGGCAGGAGGGGAGGGCAGCACCCACCTGGGGACCCATGGGGATGCAGTCCCTGCAACCGGCTCCCACCTGTCCCTTCAGCCTCTATCCCAGGTCCTCAGCCTTGCATGTCCCTTTCAGGAACATGTGCTTTGCTTTGTCACACCCCCAGCCCTTTGCACATGCTGCTGCCCTGAGAGGCCTTCCCCAGGAAGCCCCAGGTTGGGCTCCCACCACCTCTGTGGTCCTGCATCACAGCCCTGTGCTCTATTTTTTTTTTTTTTTTTTTTTGAGACGGAGTTTCGCTCTTGTTACCCAGGCTGGAGTGCAATGGCGCGATCTCGGCTCACTGCAACCTCCGCCTCCTGGTTTCAGGCAATTCTCCTGCCTCAGCCTCCTGAGTAGCTGCGATTACAGGCACGTGCCACCATGCCCAGCTAATTTTTTGTATTTTTAGTAGAGACGGGGTTTCACTATGTTGACCAGGATGGTCTCGATCTCTTGACCTCGTGATCCACCCGCCTCGGCCTCCCAAAGTGCTGGGATTACAGGCGTGAGCCACGGCGCCCGGCCCTCTGTACTCTTAAGTACATCTCTATACTCTGTACTCAGCTCTGTACCTGCCTGAACTGAGTTCTAAAAATACAGAGACCAGGGACCCAACATTCCGATGGGTGCCTGGGTGAGGCTGGGGTCCCATCTGTCTCTGTGTGTCCCTCCCAGTGTGCAGCTGTGTGCACGGCGTGTGCAACCATGGGCCACGTGGAGATGGAAGCTGCCGGTGCTTTGCTGGATACACTGGCCCCCACTGTGATCAAGGTGAGCAGTGCCACTGGGACAGCCTGGGGCAGCAGGTCCCCCATGGCCTGAGCAAAAGAGGCCAACTGGTTGAGGATGGGGCCCAAGCCTCAGCAGGACCTCTGCCTGCAGCCTTGTTGGGGAAGGGGTGTCATCTGAGATGCCCACTGTCCAGAGGCCCAGCAAGGGCAGGGCTTGCTCCAAGTCACACAGAACAGTCAGGGCCCCTTTGCCCCTGTGTTCCTCCCCAGTCTGGGCTTGGGCCCATCGGTGCTCTCTCCCCTCTGCTCAGAGCTGCCCATCTGCCAGAAGCTGCGCTGTCCCCAGAACACCCAGTGCTCTGCAGAGGCCCCCAGCTGTAGGTGCCTGCCCGGCTACACGCAGCAGGGCAGTGAATGCCAAGGTGAGCCTGGACTCAGAAGCCAGGGACTTCAGTTCAGGGTGGACAGGGTCTGAGAGAGCATCCTTCAACCCAGCAGGTACAATGTAATTCACAGGGAGGGAGAGCCATCCCTAAGGGGAGCCTATCTTCAAGGTCTGGGTCAGCCTTGGCTGGCCCTCAGTGGAAGCTGTGGTGGAGACAGGGCTCCTGTGTGTTTGGCTCACTTGGGTTCTCTCTCTGCCCTGGCAGCCCCCAACCCCTGCTGGCTATCACCCTGCTCACCACTGGCCCAGTGCTCAGTAAGCCCCACGGGGCAAGCTCAGTGTCATTGTCCTGAGAACTACCATGGCGACGGGATGGTGTGTCTGCCCAAGGACCCTTGCACTGACAACCTTGCTGGCTGCCCCAGCAACTCTACCTTGTGTGTATACCAGAAGCCAGGCCAGGTGAGCCAGGGTCCCAGGCTGGAACTGCCCCCACAGTGTACCCACTCACACTGGCTGAGGGGCCCTGGGCAAGTCACGGGCCTTCTGGGAGCCTCCGTTTCCCCATTTGTAAAATGGGGGGAGGATGACGGTCCTCTTCGGGGAGGGACTGAGCAGGGCTCTGTGGGTAGGGCAGACGCTCGTGGTTCTCGGGGTTGGACATGGTATTCCCCTCCCTCCCTGTCGGGGGCCAGGCTTCCTGCATCTGCCGGTCAGGCCTGGTCAGCATCAAAAGCAATGCCTCTGGGGGCTGCCAAGCCTTCTGCTCCCCCTACTCCTGTGACCGGTCGGCCACCTGCCAGGTGACCGCTGATGGGAAGACCAGGTAAGCATGGGGGTGTGAGGGGTAGGGGGGCCTCAGAGCAGAGACAGTGGGTTGGACAAGTGTGCCCCCTGTGGGGAGGCGTGGGGGGGAGGGGCTGGGGGGCACAGCCTCTGCCCTGACTGGCTCTCCCTGGGCTCCCAGCTGTGTGTGCAAGCAGGGCGAGGTGGGGGATGGGCGTGCCTGCTACGGACACCTGCTCCAGGAGGTGCAGAAGGCCATGCAGACAGGCCGGGTGTTCCTGCAGCTGAGGGTCGCCATGGCCATGATGGGTGCGTGACCCCACTGCCTGCCCATGACCTACCCCTCACTCCCAGCACAGCTGGCACGGAGGGAGGGGCTGCCTCTGCAGGTTTCCCCAGAGCTGTAGGAACAAACAGCGGGCTATGGGGGTGCACACGGCAGGTGGGAGCTGCCCTCCAACCCTGAGGCCCCCATCTACCCTAAATCTAGGCCGAATACCCGACCCCAACTCCCCCACCCTAGGACTGATGCCTGAGGGTCTTCTGAGACCCCCAGGTCTCCCCAGCTCCCTTCTGATGCTCCCTCGCCCTGCCCCCAGACCAGGGCTGCCGGGAGATCCTCACCACAGCAGGCCCGTTCACCGTGCTGGTGCCGTCCATACCCTTCTCCTCCTCCAGGACCATGAACGTGAGCCCCTCCCCCTGGCAGAGCTGGACCCCGGCCCTCGCCTCCTCCCCTGGATACAGCCCAGTCTTCAAGGCCTGAGAACCTGGGAGGCATCAGGGACTGGGAGGCATCCTGTCCCCCACATTGCTTGAGTAGGGGTGACGTGAAGAGGACCGGCCCCCCTACCCCGGCTCACTTGGCTCCCTGCCTTGTGTCTGCAGGCATCCCTCGCCCAGCAGCTCTGCCGACAGCACATCATCGCAGGGCAGCACATCCTGGAGGACACGAAGTCCCAACAAACACGAAGGTGGTGGACGCTGGCTGGGCAGGAGATCACTGTCGCCTTCAACCAATTCACGGTGAGGGAGGAGGCTCAGCCTAGGGACAACAGGAGTCACGGCCTGGCAAGGGTGTGCAGGTGGGAGGGAGACTCAGGACAGGGGGCTGGCCTATGGGATCTGGCCAGACCTCCTGTGTCTTCTCAGAAATACTCCTACAAGTACAAAGACCAGCCCCAGCAGACATTCAACATCTACAAGCCCAACAACGTAGCAGCCAATGGCATCTTCCACGTGGTCACTGCCCTGCGGTGGCAGCCCCCCTCTGGGATCTCGGGGGATCCCAAGGTGAGCCAGCATCCTCCCCTCCCCTCCCCTGTGCTGCTGGGTGACCTCAGACCCCTGCGGAGAGCAGGGAGTGGGCAGGAGCCATTCTGCTCAGGGCTGGAGCACAGCTTCTTCCCCCTGGGCTGAAGCAGCCTCATCCCTCCTTACAGAAAACTATCAGTCAGATCCTCGCCTCTACAGAGGCCTTCAGCCGCTTTGAAACCATCCTGGAGGTGAGCTGGGGGGAGGGGCCCTAGCCCATCTGGGCTTCTGGGCTTCTGGGCCAGGACTCATTATCCCAGAATCTGCCCCATAGTGACCTGGGGTTCTGAAGTAGCATGGCCTCTGCCCACGTCCCATCCTCAAGTCTGAGGTTCTGCAGTAACATGGACCCATTACCCATGTCTCCCACTTTACTCAGTGGGAGTTTCCTGCAGGCCAAAGGTGGCAGGGCCCAGGCAGGACTCAGAGATGGAGGCTGGCCATGCAGCCCCCTGAGCCTCCCTTGCACTGCCACAGAACTGTGGGCTGCCCTCCATCCTGGACGGACCTGGGCCCTTCACAGTCTTTGCCCCAAGCAATGAGGCTGTGGACAGCTTGCGTGACGGCCGCCTGATCTACCTCTTCACAACAGTAAGCTCGGTGGGAGAAGGGGCTGTGGGTATGGGGGTACCAGGGCCTCCACGCCCCCCC